CTCCTCTAAGAGCTTTGGCTTAAGCCATAAGTGCCTTAATCTGAGTCATCATAATGTTAGTCATCTTTTATGCACGAACAATAAAAAATTCAAGTTAGGTGTCAAATAAAGAAAAAACAAATAGAACGCCACGAAAGTTACATTACCAATATAGTCGACCAATCTATCCAGGTCGCCTTCGTAATTGAACAAATTGCGCACCCACATAACCTGGAAAAACTCCAAAAGAGCAATTTCCTCTCTTTTAATGGCACTTAGTTTGTGTGGGACATAACTCATAATAACGAAGAGGTCACTGGTCTAATAAAGAGAAAACTAGTACGTCTTATCTTCCTCATATATGACTTAAAGGCAATGGGCGTCACCCCTAACCTAAAGAAATTTTTCATTTCAACCCTTATAGTTTGAAGTGTATGGGGAACAAATGACTTTCTCGTGCATAACGTTCAAAGAAACCTAACCTCCTTTATGCACACCTTTAGATTCATAGAAAGAAAATAAGATGCCAACGATAGGTGTGATATTAAGACCCAAGTAGACAACCTCAAATGCCCGAGAAAAAGCCCAACTATTAGGATGAAGTTGGGAAAGGTCGACATTTAGGGTTTTCAGAAGTTCAGATTGGAAGATAGTAAAAGGGATATTCACGCTGAAGTTGTCAATAACTTCGGGGTAGAATTAAATGTATTTGTCAGGCACACCGGATGGTTACTGCATGCAAACCTTTTCTCCTGGGATGCATGGTTCCAAAACTATGTCGGCTTTGTCACTATTAGTAAACAGTTCCGAGCCATCCCAAAATTTCTCTAACCAAATGTCGAGGCAAAGTGAGTCGTAACTCAAAACCTTGTCATTAAAAGAGTCGACAAGAAGCTCCATAATGATCTCGAGTGAACTTGAGGAACGGGACACTGAGTCGGCGTCACTATCATTAGAAGCGTTATTAAATAGAATGTCATACATTTTTTTCTCCATTAACTCCCAATCTACCTTTTATGTAGTGCGTCTAGAAGCTTCCACATATTGTTGCCACAATGCGTGCCTCTTGAAGACAATCTTAGGGAGAATTTCCCTCCCCACTCACCACACTCATAAATTATAACCATTGAAAGTGTTACACAAAGTATAAAAAGGAAGAATAAACAAACACAATGTCATAATTAAAATGGAAGAGACGAAGCCTTGAGGAGAAATGATTTTCAGTGCGAGGAAAGGGTGAACTTATAAGTATGGAGAGATAGGAAATCGATTGTATTTCTAAAAAAGATAATGAAGTGTGTGGGTGAAAAAATTGTTATTTAAACAAGGTTTTGGGTACACGAAGGGTCTCCTAGGTAAAAGGCTAAAAATCCCTAATAATATAGTGCATTTATGACAACATAGACGTTACAAGTCCTAATAAAAAGTAATCATGAGACATTAATTCACTTCATGAAACGCAGAAGACCAAGAGTTCAGCGGCAGACAATAGGTCGGCCAAAGCGGGTTGAAGTTAGAGAATAATTTCATGCTTTCCTTGATCTTGACGACCTTGCTCTTAACCATTTCTCCTCCCAAGGGCCTCATGCTTAGGGGCTAGTGTACAATCCGAGAAATTGCAAGTTCAAGTTTGATCAAGTAACAAAATTTAGCCCGAATGAACTCACTATTAAGCATTTCACCCCCCCCCCCCCCCCCCCCCCCCTTGGATATCATGCTTGGGAGACTATGTACATCTCCGAAATTGCAATGGTCAAAATATGTGTCATGATCAAAATTAGAGTTCGGTCAAAAAACATCGATGAAATACCCGAGTAAGTTTTCCCTTAAGCATGTCACCTCTCTAATCCTCTTTTGGAAGCCTGTGTACATCCTAAAAATTAAAGACGGCCTGAGTTATACAGAATAGCCGTGACTAAACACAGCTCATTCTAGGGTCTGGGGCGCGACAATAAGCAGCCCTAGGCAAGATGACAGAAGACATGCATTTAATAGTCATTATCATGTGACATCAACATATTCTAACATGTTTGATTACCAGACGAATGGCTATAAATGTCCATTATGCTAATAAATGACATTAAAATCCCTCGTCTCAAATCCAATAGAAATCCAATAATGGTGAATCAATATAAAAGACAGTAATAAAAAAGACGGACTCGATTCTAATAGAGAAAACTCATAAAAGACAACAATAAAAAAGACAGACTTGACTCTAACAAAGAAGACTCAACTCCAACAAAAAAGTCACTCATTGTGGCTCTTTCTAGGCAGAATAATAGAAATCCAATAGTGGTGAATAAATATAAAAGACAACAATGAAAAAGTCACCCAGTGTGGCTCTTTCTAAGCAGAATAATAGAAATCCAATAGTGGTGAATCAATATAAAAGACAATAAAAAAAATGACAGACCCAGCTCTATCAGAGATATCACCGACTATGGCTCTTTCTAAGAATGAAGTTATCAAATTAGTGCACTTTGTCTGAACATAATATAATAACAAAGAAATACCATTAAAATTAAGAAAAAGCAACCAATCTTATATATGGAATTCATTTATACTAGCTATTCATTCAAAAGAATATCTGTTTTTCTAAAAGAGTCATGCTAACAAGAACTCTAATAACATTGATTAAAGAATCAATCAAAGAAAAGTTTATCTTGAGAATAAGTTAAACCTTTTTCAATGTAAAAATATACACAATTTTCCCAAACAAACTTACTTTTTTTATTCTTTAACCACAATTGTAAGGGCATTGTTAGCATTCTCATTTTCAAAATATTCTTGCTTTCCATATTTTCTTTTCACACTTGTATAAACTCTGTAGCATTAACATTAAAACAATCTTTTGTGTGCACCAAAATCTTCTTTATCTTCTTAGCTTTAGCTTCTTTCGAGTAATAAACAATTCTATGGAAAACAACAACAGTTCATCAAATTCTTCTTGTACACCAAAATCCGTCATGTCTCTCCGAGGGATTCAACGAATTCAAGCATCAATCAAGAGCACAAACAAATCACCAATGGTTCAAATTATCCATCATCAAATCCTAAGACTAGTAGTGTCCAAACCAAACCACATCACAAGGCTCAAACAGGAACATCATCAGAACCAACCCATATCAAGTTTGATTATTCAACACCTGCGTACAAAGAGAAAGGGCACTCATCAGCAGTTTCAAGTGTAGCAAAAGGTGCTTCAACTCTTGTTGAAAATTCAGAAAGAGCAACAAAAGTTTCTGCCAAGAGTGAACTACAATTACCTCGACCACACCATATTCCAAAGAAAGCGGCGGCACGCGATGGTAATCAAGAAGGTAAGGAATCAGTGGATATTAATGACACTTTCAAAGAGTTCATTCAACGTGCTAAAAAGAAAATCATAACCGTGTCAACTATCGGTCAGGGTCAGAACAACCCTACAGCTGCACCAGATCATGAAGTCCATCATGGTACCACTACTGCTGGCAAAAAAGAAAGCCATGAAGACCATTTTCAGGACTTCATTCACCGTGTTGGGAAGAAGATCAGAGCCACAACCATGAGAAGAGATTAATAATATGATTATTGAAAAAGGTGCGTCAAAAGAATGTTGATTAGTAAGCTGGTGTTGTGTTGGTAAAGTGTTGTGTTAAGTAACTATTATCTAATATAACGTAACTGAGTGCAGATAAAAATAAGGTCATAGCCTATTATGGTTTGCAAGCCTAATATTTATTTCATATCTCATATTTGTGCTAAATTTGTAGACTTGAACTTTTAATTCAACTTGTGGATTGTGAAATTTAATGATTACAATATGACATGTTAAGTAGAATTTTTTCCAGGATCCTGCAGAGAAACAATTGGTGAGTAGAATTATCACTTCATAGTGTTTCTATAACTTATTCATGGATCTTGCGATTTCATGTGGAACAAGAGAAAATGAAGCAAACAAGTTATCAGCAATATACCTTTCTTCTCTCACAACTAGTAGGTTCTTTTATGCAGGTTCTAGATATGGTTTTGGACCAAAAGCTACTTGAAAATTTCCTTTGATAACTGACTACACAAGTTGCATCTAAGTTGAAATTAAATGTTAGGATTATTGGCTTTCAAAAGTCAGTTGAATCATTGTGGTAGTATTACCACCATGCTAGCTTTGTCTTTTGTTATGAAGGATGGTATTAATGAAGGTGGTTCCTTTTGATAAGGTATAAAATGTAATACCATATATGGTCCTATCTCTTTAGTACACAATAGAGTATGCAGTACAATCACACTCATAAAAAACAGTAAGCCAATCATTCTAATTTTGTATACCTGAACAAGGCATGTACATATTACATGATCCTAGGCAAGAGAACATCGCCAAGCAAGCATGCCTAGTTGGGATGAAGGTTCTCCGTTTCCCTAACCTGTGTTCCACTTCCACCAACGAGCGATACAACTCATTCATGTAGAAGACAGAATCATAGTAATAAAACTCATTCATGTAGAAGACAGATTCTTTGTAATAAATTGTGTTAGCTTCAAGAGAGAAATTCAAGTTGGAGTTATATTATATAATGATCAGAGAATATTTGTTGCAGTCAAAACCAATTTGATGATGTATTACTGCAGAGCTTAGGTGCTACTAAATTTCAAGTTGGGAATTTTATCAAAACACCATGGAGAGTTAGAAGTAGAATTCAAAGGAGATGTTCAAATTTTGATTAAAGATGTGAAAATCCCTAAGTCAATAAAGGCAAAGTCAAAGGAATATTTTAACATAGTTATTGTATGTACATATATGTAAGCTAGAATTTTGTGCACGCCATGCACAAATTGCCATTGTATTTACATTGTTGTCATATTTGAATGTTAAATGTAATGAAAATAGATACTTTTGAAGCCTTCAAGTTTCAATATGATTAATTATCAAACATCAAAGAAATCAAAATTGTTCTAAATTTACCTATTTAAATGGTATAAGAAATATCTAAATATTTGCAAAAGCAATCCACTTCTTTTAACAAGGACAACTATAATTGTCATGCTCAAAGTAGCAGCTGACCTATGTCTTTATGATGATCATTGATCATTCCTATTGTGTTGTGTTGTGCCTGTAAAAAAAAAACATGGGCAAAAAAAATTAGAGATTTCATATCAAAGTTTGACCATGTTACCAGAAAAGATACAATCAATACCAGTACAAGTTCAGAACAGGACCCATTCTGGCTTATGGTTTGAGGACAATATAAAACCTATATATTACCTCAGCTATTTCCACAATGTAAGTAAGGGTTTAGATAAAAATAAAAAGCACTGGGTCCTATATTTTTATCACCTGGGTTATATGGCCAATATGTCCTTCAACTTCTTGAACAATAGGTGTAAACAAGTCCTGCCATAAAAAAAATCCAAAATTAGAGATTCTTTTATTATGCTGTAATATTATTACACATACAGATACAGTTCTTATGTTCAACAATAGTAAATAAATTTGAGAATTTAGAGATCACCTCTTCTTGACTTTGACCCTTTTTGTTTTCCTGGTTGTTCTTTTGAGTTTTATTTCTTGCAAGCTTCTTCTTCAAAATTTGATCAATGTCAGATGTCTTCCTTTTGGAAGGAGGACACCCATTACATTGAGTTACGGCTGAGTCAAGAATCCTAGTTACATGGTTTGGAATTGAACTATTTTCTTCTATAATCCTGGAGGATGGCCCTTTACAAGTTAATACATTTTTCAATTCCTTGATCCAATTCATCATTTTCAGTAAATCTTCTTCAGAGTTTATGCTTGTAGAAGCAACTTCGTAAAAGGCATCACATGCTTTATTAACACGTTGCAATTCTTCAAAACCACGTTTAATCAGTGTATATCTCCGCTTTACATACTTCCTCCACCGTGACAAGATATAATAAGGTGGCACTGAATCAGTTTTGCCAATGAGCTTAAGCACACAAAGAATGTGTCTACATAAAATTCCTTTGAATTCAAATAAGCAACATGTACACTGCAATTTGAAATCTTTTTCATAGAAAGATACCTTAAACACCATATCTTTAATGTTCTCGTTTACTTTCTTATTTTCAGTAACAGAGAATATTGAATTCAAGTCCTCCAATCTCTCAAAACTAGTATTACAATACATCATAGAAGAAACTTCTACTTGAAATTCTTTGAATTTTGCATTGGTGAATGCTTTTTGAAATTGAACCTCAAAGCCAAAATGACTTACACATGCAATTGTTGTGTTAAATGAATCAAAATCGGTCATGCTTTCCTTTTCAATTTTATCATTCAATACATCATCATATTGTTCAACAAATTGCTTCAATGTTGTCTTTGAACTTACGTAACCATCAAAAAATGATTCTATTCTTTCCCTCCTTTGTGTAGTTGACATTCCAGCCCAAAATGTGTCTTTCACATACACAGGAACCCAACGATTTCGCTCATCAAATAACTCTTTTAGCCATCCATTATCATGTAGTTTATAACGTTCTATCATATTTCCCCACCTCTCCATGAAATCACTTTTGCTTTGAGAATCATATACCACATCATGCATAAGTGTTTTGATAGACTCACAATAAGAGTGTTTACCCAACATTTCTGGGACCTTTTTCACTATATGCCACAAGCACCATCGATGACGAGCTTTTGGAAAGGCAACCTCAATTGCATTTTTTATTGCTTTATCATCATCAGTAATTATGCCATTTGGAGCATGTCCATGCATACATTCCAACCATCTTGTGAACAACCAAGTAAGAGTTTTAGTATCCACATTCGACAATATTGCACACCCCAACAAAATAAACTGACCATGATGGTTCACTCCAACAAAAAGGGCCAATGGCAAGTCATACTTATTTCTAAAATAAGTAGTGTCAAAAGTTATGACTTCACCAAAATACTCATATGCAGCCCTACACCTCGCATCAGCCCAAAATAAATTTTGTAAATTTCTTTTATCATCCATATCAATTGCATAATAAAATTGACTATTTTGCTTTTGATTTCTAGAAAAAAAGCTATGAATCGCATCAACATCTCCTCTCCCAAGTTTTATCCGCCTTACTTTGTGTATATGGTTTCTAAAATCTTTTTCTCCAAAAGTAACATTCACACACCCATTTGTTACAACACCCGCAGATTGAAGACTTCTGCTAACATTTATTGCAGCTTGATCATTAAGTTCTAAACTCTTCTTTATACAAGGCCCCGAATTCTCGTCCAATCTGAAATACCGCCCTTTGGTTTGGCCAAGTTCGTGATTATGTTCAAGAACAACTCTTGAAACAGTAATTGTTCCATCTAAAGCAATACACGCATTCAACCTAGCTCTGCATTGTGTTTTCGATGTACGGTATTGCTTTGAAGGATTCTTTGAAGTGCTCACATACTTTCTTGCACAATAACATGCTAGAGTAAAGTATTTCCTTCCATCATCACCGTTTTTTGAACTTATTTTTCCAACTCCAAAACCCATACGTTTGGCATAATTAGTGTAATATTGAGTAACATCTTCTTCGGAACCAAATGTCATTCCAGTTCTAGGTTCTTCATCTTCATCGCAAGCAACAATTGCAACTAAACTATCATCACAACTTTTATTTCCTTCCTTTATTTCATCTTTATCAGAAGATGCAACTATTTCTTCCACTAATGCAATGAATTGAAGAAAAAAACTTAAATTAGTCAACTAAACAAAAAGTAAATAAATCAATGTGCGAGAATTTTCTCTCTTATGATATGAAAAAACAATAAATAGTGAAAAATTAGTACTTACTTATTTAAAGCGAAAACATTCGTGTGAGAGAACTGGTTGACGGAGAATTAGGGTAAAGTGATGATTTGGTAATAACGGCTTCCTCAACCGCTACGGTGGTAGTTGCGGCAGCTGCGACGGGTTGAAGAGATGGAGAGACGGTTATGGAATTATGAAGCGGCAAAAACGGTGCAGCTTGCAGAAGTGGTGAGGAAGGTTTTCGTAGCAGGAGAGAAGATAGGTTCGTGGAGTTACGATTTACCGATTCGTGCACTTCGTACGAAAAGTTTCTTATGTTTTTTTTTTTCGAAATGCAGCTACGTTTCAAGGCAGTGAAAATGGGTCGTACGCGTGGGCCGAATCTAGGCCCAGTTGTTTGTGTGCTTGAGGTTTTTTACTAGCAAGAAAATTTGAAGGATTTTTTTAATATACCCAATATGTTTTTTAGATCTCATGTGAAAATTTAAAAATGTCTTTAGATTTTGAAGATGTACTTGTGGATGCGTTCTAATATACACTCAACATTTTCTATTATGAGTAACGTCCTATTATTTGATTTATTTTATTTTGGAGGTATATTTCTGAAATGTTTTCGTAGTTACATTTCCGTAGCACAGACACATCAGTAGTAGAATCAAAAACATGTAATTTTCCAAAACAAAATTAATATTTATAAAGTAAAATTAGGATTACAATGATCATTTCAACATAAACTGCAGCATTACTTCAATATTCAGGTTGGGGCTTTAACATCTTCGCAATATCTTCGACCGATATTGAAATCGTTGCTTCCGACTCGAGCGGAATTTTTGTTTTGAAACGGAAATACATATTCCACATAGTCCTTACACCTGCTTGTATCTTGATCTCAAATTTGTTGAACTCAATCTTCTCTCCATTGTCAATCGACGGTGAATAGTATTCGAACTTCACAACCATTCGATTGTCTCCGTAAGGTAGGAGATGGTGGATTTCGTCTTTGATATCTTCAAGGGAGGTGAAATCGATGAGCTTAAATGTTTGCCCAGATGTATAGTTGGAAAATGAGACATTTTTGACATACCAGTTGATGTTTATTTGTGACATGTGAGACATTTTCAGTTTGTGTGAAATATAACATAAGAGCACCTTAATTTACAAAAGCCATAGATCAATATGAACCACTCAATAACTGGCATGCTGATTCTGAAGATATATCTGCAGTTTCGCACCTTATTATCTTGTTTCGGAGATGCATCTCTAGAAATTCTCCTGAACCAGTTCTAAAATAGAACCTTATTTTTTTTTACAAAAGAACAAATGTTGTTATGGGGAAGATAAAAAATGCATTAAGACACAATATGAACAAACGTTGAATATATTACACTTCATTTATATTAAGACACAATTACATACACTTATTTGTCCGACTAAATAAGAAATTAAAACGAATCAAAACATGTGTCATCGGCTAAATATATGGATGGTGCCCCCTTGGACTTTTGTGCATTTGATTCCTTTTCAATGTTGCTCAATTTCTCGAACTCTTACATATTTTTAAAAAATAATTTGGCCAAGTCTAGACTTTTGTTGTTGAATGAGTCATCCACTCCAGTGATGTAAGTGGTATAGGGTTTCAAGTAAACTTGAACAAAATGACTTGATTTTGATAGTCACCCAATACACATAATTCGATCATTTGGATTTTGACGTGGGGCGGTGCGCAGTGAGAAAAAGGTTTCAGAAAAATTGTATTGTGTCAGAACAACACACACATTATCATATGCACATGCTATTAGGTGATCCATTTCAGGAAAGCGCATCCATTTTGCCTCCGGTGCCAGATCGCTAAAGCAAGGAAAAAGAGACTCATAAACTTCATCGAATTTTTATTTCTTTTTGTACAACAATATGTATGTTTCTTTATGTGTCTTCAACTCTTGGATAAGTTAATGGTGGACAAGTGTATTATTATTTTCTCCTTTATCGAGTAAAATCAGAGCTGATTGATAACTGTAATTACTGTCCCCACAGGATTGACGATCTGCTCGATGTATTTGTGCATAAAAACGGGCATCTCGTCAATGAATGGAGTTTTTTGTGAAGGCGACGTAGAAGGTGGTTTGCTAATACGAGCTCCTTTGACAATACTTTTTTGAGATTTTTGAGTTGGTGAGTCGGGAAAAATTTTGTCAACGTGTTCAAAATATGAAGGAGACTATGTAGTCGAATTCTCATTTAGTGTAGGCTTCATTTTGTTCGGAGTACCTTTTGTTTTTATCAGTTGATAGGGCGGTTTCATGTTGGTGGTTTTGGGATAGGCAGTCTTCCTCACTTGTTCTTTGATATGGAGTTTCATGTTGTCATCAGCTTTCAAAAATCTCTCTTATATCACTTCCCATTCTGTCAAAATAGAGATATTTGATTTACCGTCATTCATGACACCATTGTCATCAAACCTAAGTCTCTTCCAATGAATGTAAACCTCATCCATTCTTATTGAGCTACCAAGTTTCACCTTTTTTGCAATAACACAACCACGTGGGAGACCATATGTTTTCATAATTGTGCATCCACATTTTGCGCTATCAGCGCCTACATTATCAGCTCGTTTAGCCTCTTGAAAATATAATTTGAACTCTCCTGAGAAATGTTACTGACCAAATGAGAATTAAGAGTGTTGCCTTTAAAACTGTGTTCTAAAACTATGATGATCTGACCAAATGATGTATGTATCTCATTATGCTGGTTTCGATTCATATGGTTCACGGAGAACTAATCTTTACACAAATAACCTTTACTATTTTCCAACCAATTTTTCAAAGTAGCATGGGTAGACTCAACTCTGTTAGTTGTTGTATTTCCAAGGTTTCTAACATTATCAGTCCATGCACAAAAAAATTTCTCCTTCACCTGGTCAAGAATTGTGCTTTCAACAAATTTAGATACTTTTCACACATTTTCCTGGAATGCTTAACGGAATCGGCATATAGATATTTTGTGGAAGAATTTATTATACAATTTCATGCATCCATTATTTTTCCACAACTACACCCGCCTTCACCATTTTTCCATCTTCGGACTTTATCTGTTTCATCCATACCGCAAGATTAACCTGACTTCTAACATTCTTTGTTATGTGATACCTGTAAAGTAATGCGTTAGAAGAAGAAAATACCTTTGCAACCAAATTCATCAAGGCGGTATCGCACTCTATAACAATCACTTTAGGCATCTCACCTTGGTCCTTCAACAATGCCTGACACACCTCTAAGGCCCAAGTAAAATCGTTCTTTTTTAACACCCAAGAAATGCAAACCCAACAGAATATGTCTTCTTAATTGAGGTCACATTAACCATCTCCACTATTAGAAGTCTATACTTGTTGGTCTTGTAGCTTTAATTAAGTATGAACACAATAGGAAATGTATTGAACAATTAAATGGAATTAGGATGAGTCCAAAATATATATCTAATAGTAGCTCCGTCCTTGCATGTTCGGTACCTAGACACGTAAGTGTTATCATCCAACTGTTTCAAGAATTGTTAAATTCCAGTTTTATCCCCCATAAGCGTCTTGTTAGTTAGTTACTGAATATTATACACTTTCTTGATATTTGATATATTTTTTGGTCTTTTCTGTTTCAATGTTGCAAGTATATTTTTCGGTTGAACCAGATTCAATGTCATGTCAACAACGCATTTCTTCTCTTCTGGGATGAGCCGACACACACTAAGATGGCCGGCTAATTTTTCACTCAAATCATGATTATACAAACCACGTATCACATTAAATCTCTAGATTTTATTTGTCAACATGTAACCACACACCTTAAACGGACACTCGCGTTTTCTTGAACTGGTGTCATCTATTTTAAAATTTCGGAGAGAAGTTCTATATTTCCCGCTTCTTTCTCCCGTCATTGTCACAAAATTGCATATTATATCCAAACTATTATAGAACTTTCTTATAACCACAACAAATCCAAGTTTAGAGGCCTCCATACGAATCCATTGAAGCATTTGATCACAAGATTCAAACTCTTGCTCGTTTTTAAATTGGTTGCCAACATTTATCGCCTTCAGAACAACACCTTGGACATTTGAAGAAACAATTTATTTTAGGAAAACATCGGGAGCACCATATCTAATAAAAACAATTACAAAATAATATTATATAAGCGCCACTGCTGAAAACAGACTTGGAAAATAAACACGGAGTATTTCTTTTATGTGATGAACCACAATGAAACGTTTTGATGAGATGAACCACAAGATTGGAGATTTGAAGTGAAAAAATGGTTTGAGAACGGAGGGGTTTTTGGTGAAGGTTTGTGTTGGAAAACAACAATGAAACAATGGATGTGTGATCATGCAGTTGTTTCTTTTATCATATTATTTCGAAAATGTATCTCCAGAAACATCTGGCATACAAAGGTGACAAAATATTTCAAAATCCCACCCTAACTTCTGGTGATGTAGCTCCAGAATTTATACTAAATTGATTAATTATTAATATATTTCTTGAAATGTTTCGGAGATGCATATCTGGAATAAAAATAACTCAAATTATAGGACGCCACTCAGAATGACATGTGTTGAATGTGTAATGGGTGCGTCTGGAGATCCATCTCCAGAAATTAGGGGGCATTTTGCGGGTGCATTCTTCCATTTAGAAATGTTTTGAATGATGTCAAAACTAGGAGGAACTTTAGCATTTTTATACCTTGGGTGGTATCAACCAAAGTCTAGATGTGCATTGATCATTTTAGCATTAGGATGCATACAAATAAGTTTGAAAATGATTGGAAAAACATTAGGCATGTTTCATGCATCAAAAATTAGTTTTTAAGTGTTAAAAATGTTGCATAGGCCGACATATACGAGTTTAGGTCAACCTATAGAAGCTTTTGCTTCAATGTAAGTTGACACATACCTCCATCCTCCAATAATAAAGCATGTGGCCACTGCCTTCAGGTTGCCTCTGATAGGCTAACCTAAGACCTCTATAGATCGACTTGTTACCTTCATAGGCCGACCTAT